ACCAATCAGTTGTTGCTACTCTGGGGGTAAGAAAAGCTTGTTGGCTTATTTGTTTGGATGGCGAGAAACAGAGAGCCTAAAGTCGTCTGTTATAAAAGGACAATAGGGAGTAATTAAATAAGTAAAGAAGAGATTTTTTTTTGGTCTTCCCGGCAAGGTGATGTGCAATGGTGGAAGAACGGACTGCAAAATGACTCAAGTCAAAATGTTTTGCATCAATCATTACATGTTCTACAACCTTAAATTGTGTTTTATCTGCATTTCTGCAGTGTCTGTTGTTTCAAATTACACAAATCTACAAGGATTTAATGTAGACTTACAACAAAACTGTAAACTGAAATTGAAAAGTTATTCGAAAGGTCATTAAAAGCCAAAAATCAATCAACAAATGCAAAAAGCAGAGGATTTTTCTCAGAAGTCACCTGGTCACTCAGCAGGCTTCTATGAGAATGTTTTACACGTTTTATTTTTTATATTTTGGATTAATATAATCAAGAGCGGTGTGCATTATTGTGGTATGGTTGTAAACGTGAGAGGTTAAATTGAAGTCTGCAGGCTGTCTGGAGCCCTTACATGTGGAAATTGGAATATTTTTCCCATTTCTGCATGGATTTCTCTTGGGTTTCCTTTCACTGTCTGGATCAAAAATGACCTAAATTGGTGTTGTGAATCCTATTGTGCAAAGACTTCCAAGAATTTTTTTTTTAATTAATTGACAAAAAAGGTTAGGAACTAATATATATTTAATATTGTATATATATATATATATATATATATATATATATATATATATATATATATATATATATATATAACAGGAATGGGACTCGGTTAACAATTTAACAAATTAATCTAAATAACTAGAGGCTTTGTAACTAATTAATCTTAATCACATTTCAATAGGATGTAAACTGATACCAATATATTCACAAACCCAACCCCCACCTGTCACAACCTGTCCTGTCTCCCCATTCTATTCAGTCCTAAGTCCATGTTAATTGCTCCCACCTGCCTCTCGTCTCCCAATCACTCAAGGTCCCAGCTCCTCATGTATTTAAACCCTCCCAGTTCTGTGTTCCTTGTCTGTTCATTGTTTCCATGCCCAGTGTGCATCCCATTACAGAACCCCTTAAACGTTCCTGTCTGCCTGCTTGCCTTCTTCACCTGTGTTTGGATCCTCACCCCAGCAGCACAGTGACACCACCCTTCAAAAAGAAAAATAACAAACTCAATTTTAAGTGATTAACATATATCCTAGCATTAATCAAACATTAAACATTATCTGTCAAAAATCTGATACATATTTACTTTGTCTCCAAAAGTAGCTGAATCCCTGAGATTATCCTGACGAAGGGCAAATTTCTACTTCTTCACAGGTTCTACTAAACAAACAAAATATCTCAAAAACCATCTGTACTTTGACTGAAAGGAGAAGTAGTTGAACAGTTTGATTCTATATGTGCATGGCATGTAAAGTTTGTGTCATTAAAGGGTTAAAAACTGCTACCAATCTTTTCTGATATTATATTTTCATGCCAACATCATCAGATAATGATAAACCAAACTGTTGATGCTGATAGTTTTGTCATTTTGTTTTTATTCATTTGGTGCATTGTCAATAATCGTTTACTTTAACCAATGTTATTTAAATAGTAAGTCACCCCCAAATGAAGCTGCTGTTAGTCACAACCTCAGTGTCATCCTCTCAGTCTGCCAGGCGACCCCTCTTCAGGCACATTTTTCAAACAGGAACTGTGGTAGCAGGGTTACTTGCTCTTGTGATTGGCTGATTGGCCGTTTCTGCCGCCTTTATACTTGACAGTTTTGCATCCCTGACATTGCATAAAAGAGCCTCTAGGCTGTAGTTTTATACATATTTTTGTATACTTACAGTAAAGCCCCCCGTCCTCATCATGGTCTGTCAAAACTACGTCCATACTCCACAAGTAACATTTACCATAATGTGTTTTAAGCTAGCAACAGTCATACCCTCAGATGTATGTATGTACTGCTCCCTAGCACCAGGAGACCCACTTTACAGTTTTTCTCAATTGCTAAAACACCAAAATCCATTGACTGAAGAAAGTTCTCAGTTGCTTGAACTCATTAAGCTAACTGTTGAGCCTGTTGTCAAAACTTTAAACCATTTCACACGGTTTAGCAAAACTCTAAACACATTCTCATTCTTAAAACACATCCTGCCCTCTAATGTGCATGTCATCCATAACGGTAAACACAAGCGGCACACATTTACTCATAACAAGAGCACAAATGTCATTGATTGAACACAATCAGTGAAAATAGATTTCACTTGTTTCAAATGATGTGACAACCAATATAAGCAATTTCAGAGAGCAAACAGGTTGTTGAAGGTGGGAATGAGAAAGTGTGACAATGGATAGAAGAATTCATGTGAGAGGATGAGGACGGGTGCGCATGCAAGGTGGGGGATGAGGAGGAGGGCAAGAAAGAGAAAGAGGAGGACGAAGAGGAAGAGCAAGACAAAGAGTGGAAATATCCAATGAAATTTGAGCAACAATCATAGACCATGTTGTTGCCCATGGGCTGACAATGAGGGAAGCGGGACTTAGGCCCTGTCCACACGTAGCCGGGGATCTGCCAAAACGTAGATATTTTTCTATGTTTTGGCCTGTCATCCACACGAAAACTGAGTTTTTTCACACAAAAACAGATCTTTTTAAAAACTCCGGCCAAAGTGAAGATCTGCGTTTTCTCCGTTTTGGGTGTCTGCGTGTGCACAGACAAAACCGGAGTTTTAAGGTCCGCAACGTCACTTTCCGCGACAAAAAATGCTGACATCACGTGTGCGACCTGTGTTTACACTAGCCGACAGCATGGATGCCCTCAGAGCTGCGCTCGCTTTATCAATTGTCCAAGCGCTTTTTGCTTGTTTGTTTTTGCAAGTGGAATTACTGCTCCTTGCGGAAGACCACAGACGAAGGACAAGGTTAAGAACGGGGGAAGTACTGTCGCCTACAGGTCTGGCATGTCCTTAACAACGTATTTATCCGGGTACGTGTGTATAGTTATTTTTTAAAACGCGGTGGTGTGGATGCAAGTTTTTGGAGGGGCGGATATTCGTTTTTAAAAAACCCCGGCTACATGTGGACTAGGCCTTAGAGTGCAACCCAATATGAGCCTCAGGAGGGAAAATGTTGCATGTGATGCAGATGAAGTGCTGTGGCCTGACCCAGCCCACAGACAAGAAGAGGCCCATTGATAACATGTTTAGTCCTTTGATGTTTTTCATTTTATGTATTTTTTGTCACTGTCATTGAACACTGTAGCACAATGGACTGCAGGCTGTATATGGTACAATAAACAAATTGTATGGCCCTGAACATTGTGCTCTCTGTCTTTTGGTGTATTGTTTACTGACTGCTTGATGGTGTATGTAATTTTGAGTAATTTTTTTATGATTTGAGAGGAGTGTTTGATTTTGAGCACACCTAAAACTGTTTTGAGGCAAAAGTTTGATTTTGCAAGAGGAATGAGAGGTTTTGTAAATCGTGCTTGAAGCTGATGTTTTGTGTTTAATGTTTTGAGAAAAGGGAGCAAGGTTTCAGGAATTGTGCTTTAGCAATTGAGAAAAACTGTAAAAACCAGTTAAAACAACATTTACTAGGCAAATGAATAATTACACACATTTAAAATCAAAAATTAACTATGGAAAAAAATTATCCGAGGCCTATTTTTACAGAAGTTTTACTAATTTTCATGAAAGGGGGCTAGGCTTTAAACTACAGCTTTTCACTAGAGGGCAGTTATGATGAAGCTGGCTCTTTTAAGTGAAAGTTCAGAGGTGCAGTTTTTCTTGTTTTCCTGTGTTATATTTTTTTGTTGGTCTGGTAATTACTCAATCTGTGGTGGAATTGGTTTTTCTGCTCTGAGCAGAGGAGGAACTGACGGGGATAACAGACAGCATGCACACAGAGAGAGAGTGAAAACAGGTGGGAGAGAGAGAGAGAGAGAGAGAGAGAGAGAGAGAGAGAGAGAGAGAGAGAGAGAGAGAGAGAGAGAGAGAGAGCAGCATCCATGGAGGCAAGACACTAAAACTGAGATGGGTGTTTGGTTTTGAATATTTGTTTTCTGTGTTAAAAAGCAAAATATCCGAGTAACCACTTGGGAGCTGGAAAAGACATCTCCTTCTAAAGAACCAGCACCCGAAAAACTTTAATTATTAGATGGTCTTCACTTTGTTTTAGCTTCAACTTCCAGGTATGTTCTTTTATTTAGTTATTTAGTTTTATATGTGTGTGTGTGTGTGTGTGTGTGTGTGTGTGTGTGTGTGTGTGTGTGTGTGTGTGTGTTGTTCATATGGATGACCTGATTTTGTCTACCTGTGCCAGTTTGCGACATTTTGCCCCTAAATTAGAACACTTCTGTCCTGTAAAGCTTTATCCCTTGAAAGGCTTGGAACACACACACACACACACACACACACACACACACACACACACACACACCCACACACACACACACACACACACACACATATGGTCGGGTCAGTGTGATCAGTGAAGGCCACAGTAACATGACCCTGGTGGGACAATTTGTAAACAGCCTGTTTACTAAAATTATCCTGGTTTTATTATTCCCAAAAGACCAGCATATACAGGCCATAGTAGAGTAAACCAGGCCCATACACAGCACACCAGCGAGGGGCTTTCTGAAAATAGCAGAACTTTAATGATATGTGAAGATACATGAAGAAGAAGATATATGAATTATATAAAAAAAATCCCTGCTCTTTATTGGTATACGATCTGGTATATATATATATATATATATATATATATATATATATATATATATATATATATATATAGGTGTGTGTGTGTGTGTGTGTGTGTGTGTGTGTGTGTGTGTGTGTGTGTGTGTGTGTGTGTTGTGTGTGTGTGTGTGTGTGTGTGGTAGAAGACCAGAGCTTGGAAGGATGAGACCGCTGACGTCGTTAGGTCCGTTTTAGGGGGGCTTCAGCCCCCCTAAAATAATCACAAGCCCCCCTATCTTTTTGAGTTTTTTTAGGGCTGGGACCTTAACGCGTTATTTTGATTAATTAGAAAAAAAAACAACACGTTAAAAAAAATTCACGCATTTAATCGCAGCTTGCATTTCGAGCACGACGGAACCTTTGTCATTGCACGACTTCCTCGTAGACAGAATATCACTGACGCACACAACAATGCACAGTGCTAATGGCTTCTAAAACGAAAAAAAAAAAACAGAAAGAAGTTGCCTTGCTTGGACTGATGCAGGATTTTGGAAACACGTCCGCCTCTTTTCTTAACTTGGAAAAAAAAAACTCCCAGACAACAACGGAGTCCGTGTCACTGACATTTTTCAGAGATCGTCTCTGCTTCGGCTGCCCGGTGGCACAGGAAACTTTACAAAAATTGCGGTAAGCTATATTTTTAACATTTACGTAACATCTGTGCAGCGCTGAAAGCACCAGACAGAATAATTCTGTGCCCTAACAGTAGTTTATGAAAGTAGTCAGACAAACGAGAGGCACCTGGCTGCCGCTGGGAGAACGCTCCGTGTTCTCAATACTCTGTAAACAATCACAGACAACGTGAAAGTTAAAGTTGAAAACAGAAGTTTAAGTTAAAACAGACACTCTGAAACTTTTCTGATGATTTTCTAAACAATTCTGTCGGGGAATTCTATGTTTCTGAGACGAGTCTCTGTCTAAACATCATCGCATGCATTACTATCATTAAGCAGCAGGTGTGTTGAAGCTGTCATCAGCTAAGGGGTGGATGCTTACGTGTATCAGGGGCAACGAGAAAGTTGTGGTCAGGCTGGAGATCACACCACATTCGCTGCTGCAGGTGTGAATCTGCGGGTCTGCAGTATCCCCGTATTAACGTGACATCAGGACTTCCCATGTAAGGAAGGTCCGCTCACCTGTTCGTCAGATCGTTATTTCCTCGCCATGATCTTTTATCGTCCTATCATCCTCCAGTCATCCAACTGGAACCAGTTAGTGTTCCTGATCATTCCAGAATATGTCATGCCTGCTCTGGTGTTAAAAGTTAGCACATTTAAGTCCTAGTCAGGGGTGTCAAACATGTGGAGATGGTTGTGTAAACTTTATTTTCCTACTTTACAATGTAGAGTGAAAATAAACGTATCTTTGTGAGCAAGTTTTCTCTGTAATGAGTACAACTAAAACAAAGCGGCGCTCAAGGCTCACACAAGAACTTGAATCACATCCTGAAGTTGGCCGCCACTCAGGATGTGACTTCTGATATTGATGTGCTGATGAAAGCTAAAAGATGTAAAGTAAAATGTGTCAAATATACTTTAAGTGCTGCATGAAACTGATCTAGCCATGTGATCTGTAAGCTCTTTGAATCGCTAAGGAATGTTTTTTATTTTTATTTATTTTTCAAATTTTCAAGTACACTTCAGGTGTTGTACTTGTACTATTTTGGATACATTGTCCTCAGGCTCCAACTTTCTTTTATATTGATTGTATTAAAACAAAGAAAACAATCTGAAGTTGTTTTTAATTTACCGGTCCAGCCAACTTGGGACTAGATTTCCCTCAATGTGGCCCCTGAGCTAAAAGGAGTTTGACACCCCTGTCCTAGATCATATTTGTGCCTGTTCTACTGTCATTTTGAAGGATTATTATTTATGTGTTTTTACTACATTATGAGTAAAAATGCTAATAAAAACTCCCAATTATACAAACAAGTAAAACTGGAAAAATTAGAATCTGGTGCAAAGTCAAATTTATTTCAGTAATTCAACTAGACAGAGAGACTATTTAAAGGCTCAGGAACCCTTTGCAGGCGTTTTCTATTTGTAATTATACATTTTAGTTGATTTGGGTTTTGTTTCATATCACACAGTGACATTTGATTAATTAAAATGCATTTTTTATTAAAAGCTTTAGTTTTACAGTAATAACTATGTCTAATGTTTAATTCTCTGTCTCATAATTTTAATTAAGTTTTGCTTTGAGAGCACATTTTACTGAACGATTAAAATGCAACTAATTTAGATTAATTAATTACAAAGCCTCTAATTAATTAGATTAAAAATTTTAATCAAGTCCCAGCCCTAATTTTTATATATACTGTTATTTTGTCTTGTAATTGTTAATTACATACTCCTTTATTCCATATCATATCAGTGTTATTCATATATTAAAACTGTCAACTGCACACTCATTTGGCAGAATAAAAGTTTGACAATTATTCATTTGTTCTTTGTCATATTTCAGTAACATTTATACTCAAGCAAGTTGTAATTAAACAAATTAAAAAAAATACTGCAACATTTCCCCATGTTAAGTGCAGTAGACTGAAATGAATAGCTTTATTTGGAAATATAACATATCTAATTTTTAATGGACTTATATAAAATCTTTCTTCAACATAGACCCCACTAATGAACTGATTAAGTGTTGTTTTTATAAAAAGAAGAGAGAAAATGCACAAAGGTAGGAAAGGAAAAGAAAGTGATAAAAAAATAGGTTTTGTTAAATGTTCTTCAGATAATGAATTAATTGACAAAGTTTTTGCAGGGTGTGAAAAAAATGTTCAAGGTCAAGCTCCTGGGGCTAAGCCCCCCCTATATCTCAATCCTAGTGACGTCCATGGATGAGACCACCTGCAGAGGGTGAGATGGAAATTGATTTTATATACTTATTGTGGGCGTGTAATTAAAGGTGCAGTTGTGAAAGTCTCATGCAAACATTATGCAGGTGATGTTGTTTTATCCTCTCTCCGGATCTTGCTTCATTTGCATCTGTGAAATGCACATGAGGAATTTGTGCAGCATTTAAACAATTAGTCAGCTCGAATTCACAAGTGACACGGCAGCATATGCTGAAACGTGTCTGAGTGATGAGTGAACAAGTGAATATGTCATGCCCAAATCAAGTGCACTGGCTCCAGCTGTTTCTTGGGTTCATCCCGGACTTTTTCCAGCTGTTCCTTAAGGCAACACCTAATCATTTTCACATTTCTCATAAAGTATGGGGCTGTGAGAAGGGAACGGAGGGACAAATAGAGCAGCTTTAGCAAAGTGTTGATGTTAATTAACCTTGTGTTAATTCCAGGTAGGTGTGGGAGAGGAGGGGTTGTGGAGAATTATAAAGTTTTTAGCTTTTTTTTTTTGCCTCCTCTGATTGCTTTAGTTATCTGTGTGCATCTTGTAACAACACACTGTGGTGGGTGGACTGACTAGAATGAGTGGTCAGCTCAGACCTTCAGGCCAGCAGAGAGCTGAGAGAACTCTGAGCTCCTCTCATGGAGATGTGGAGTGAAGCGTGGGACGAGGGTGTGGGAGAAATTTGAGGGCGTCATTTGGTAATGTGTCTCCTTATAAACGATTGTTTTATTCCTCTAAATAGAAAAGGGCATCAAAAACTAAGGAATGTGAAGCACAAGTGAGACACATAGTTCACATGCATTTTTCTAAATGATTTGTGTTTTCATTTTAAATCAGTTCACAACAAATATAAGTATTAAAGGTTTGAATTCCTCAAAGGGATGCGTACTAATCATCGACTCTCTGCTGTCACCACGTCTCATTTCAGCTCCACATCTGCAGAAATGACTGGCTGATATCTGATTTTTGGGTCTCAGATATCTGTGGGCTATGGAAGCCATAATAACTTGGATTGATCTTAAAAAAATCATTCAGTTGAAGTTGTGAAAGTAACGATTCCTTTCTGAACACAGAGTCAAAGGTGAGAGGTAATTATTATGTTGTGTAAGCTGTCATCTTTTTTTATTTATAGTTTTTGCAGCAACTATCCTGAATTGTCTCGGGTGTCATTAATATTATTAACGCTGCAACAGCGGTGGCATCTTGAACAATACCAGCATCTCAAATCTGATGCGGCTAAATGGAATTCAGCCATCAATAATTTCATTATCTGAACCTCCACACTTCCACACCCACTCTGTCAAAATTCAGTTCTTCCTCCTTTTAAATAATTTATGACATTACGAGTAGTTTCAAAAGCTTCTTCTGAAAGCAGAGAGCAACTCTCAGCTTATCCAAAGTCTGGAGTTCGAGCATTTAGTCAAAAGCAAAGTTAAAGTGAGGTATTTCTCACAGGGGCACATGCGTCATCACATTGCTGCACAACTTCCTGATGAAAGTTAAAAAAGTTAAAGTTAAAGTCCCATTAGTTGTCACACACACTGGTGTGTGTGCGAAATTTACTCTCCGCATTTGACCCATCCCCTGGGGGAGCGGTGAGCTGCAGACACAGCCGCTCTCAGGAACTATTTGGTGGTTTAACCCCCCAATTCAACCCCTTAATGCTGAGTGTCAAGCAGGGAGGCATTGGGTCCCATTTTTTCAAAGACTTTGGTATGACCCGACCAGGAATCGAAACCCTGATCTCCCAGTCTCAGGGCGGACACTCTACCACTAGGCCACTGAGAAAGGTTATTTACCCCAAAGAGAAGCACTTATGAGCTGAAACATCAGTGGCTCCTGATGTACCTCAAAAAAGGTACATCAGGAAAGTGATTGTCAAGCAAAGCCGTGATTGCTTAGGTATTCGTTTTCATTCATTTTGTTGATTGTAGTTTCAAGGTGGCCCTAAGTGCCTCACACTAAAAGCAGAGATAAAAACATAAAGTAAAATAATTAAAATAAAAGGACAATATTTTTTATCATTTGCCAGAGTCAATAAAAACAAGAAAGTTAAAAAAGCACAGAAAAAATGGCCTGAATCAAGCAGATGACAAAGAGCAAAAATGTAGAACCAGCTCTGCACTGAAGTAGACCACCTATAGAATCCCTAAAAAGACCACTTTACAAATATTTAGGTAAAATATTCTTTGTTGATTTGATTTACTGGTCGATCTACGTTCCTACCCTCATGGTCATGAGCTTTGGTGACCAAAAGAATGAGATCCCCAAAATGAGTTTCCTCTGCAGGGTGGCTGGGCTCTCCCTTAGAAGCTTGGTCATCTGGGAGGGGCGCGGAGTAGACCCGCTGCTCCTCCACATCGAGAGAAGCCAGTTGAGGTGGCTTGGGCATCTAGTTAGGATAGCTACTGGACCTGGATGCCTCCCTGGTGAAGTTTTCTGGGCACGTCCAACTGGGAGGAGACCCAGAACCCGCTGGAGGGACCAAGTCTCTCAGCTGGCCAGAGAACGCCTTACAATTCCCCTGGAGGAACTTGCTCAAGTTGCTGGTGAGATAGAAGTCTGGGCTTCCCTGCTGAGGCTGCTGCCCCGTGAACTTTCCCCGGATAAACAGAAGAAAATGAATGGATTGATGGATTATTTGTCCTTAGAGACAAAAACACCTAAACTAAATAATTTCTGAATATTTAGGTTTAAAGTTATGTAAATGTGGGAGCCAGGAATTAGGAGTTCTATAGGTCTTTTCATTGTGTAGAAATCTGGATCCTTGGC